AAAAAAAAAAAAAAAAAAAAAAAAAAAAAGATTTTTGTCGGTAATCAAGTCTGTTTCATAAAAACTATATAGAGTCATAAGGTAAAAATGTTGAAATGAAATACAGAAAGAAGCATTTATGCCACAAAGAATTTTTTCTGTTAGTTGGTTAGTTTGCCCCATGGGAAACACCGATGAAGACTGAATCTAGATTAGTCATTAAGTACATTTCTTACAAAATCCCTTATCATTGTATAAATTCTACTGAAGTGTTTTAGTTTTAAGTACTCTGTGCAGTTAAGAGTTTTAGAACCATTTTCATATGAGGTATCTTTGCTTTCATTCCAGCTCTTAGTGTTTACACAAATGGTTCTGAATGCTAGGAAGTCTCAAGTTTCCCTGGCATACTGTCATTTTTTTTAAGTCAGATCTGTCATGAACATTAGATCAATTAGGTCAAAATATAGTAGTTTTCATTATCAGGGGCCTAAGGGAAATAAGTAGAAATTGTCAAAAGAAGCAATTTTATTGCTAGGTTTAAAGTAGGTCACCTAAGACCCCAGAGATTAATGTTAATTGTGTCAACTTTACTCTTTCCTTTTTTTTTTTTTCTTTTGTAGTTCAAATTCTGTTTTTAGGCTACAGTTTTTCAGTTTTTGCCGGAATACAAGGAAAAATAGTTAAACAAAATCATAAAGAAAATTAAAATAACTTGCGCTTCAGAAAACTAGAAAATCTTGCATTTACTCAGCTGAAAATGTATTTATAAATTTTTCTAATTAAGTCCAAGGTTTTTTAGTACATCTCTTTAGATAATTCTCTAAACATTTTAATAAAACATGTTTTTGTGTTCATCCACTCTTTTTGAAAGACAACATGTTATAAATAATAAATTTTATGAAGCAGTAAATTTAGATTATATTCTGATCCAAGTGCAGTACTCAACATACAGAAAAATGAAGTAACTAGTTCATGTACATCTGCCTAACAGGCATGAGGATTGAATGTTTACGAATGTTTCAGAAGTCTTATTGAAGTTACATTATGTGGGCCTAGCCTAGCACCATGTTATAATTATTGTGAAGGCACTGAAGGTAGAAGGAATAAGACATTCTTTGCCCATGACTAGTAGAAACTGTCCTCTCACAACAATCCCCTTTAAAGCTCCAGTAAAATTTAAGATACTAAGTAATAAGAGGTCCTGTTTGATTTTTTTCTATTTCTAGATACAACAATAACTTTAAGGTAAAAAATAAAATTAAATTAACTGATATGTGGACAGCCAGCTGTGTGGATGAAGTGGGAGAGGTCAACACCAATGCTACGAAATCATTTGTCTTGGGCTGGCCCACAGTGAACTTTGTGGCCACATTTAGGTAAGAACCAGTTTGTCCTGTATTTGCTAGGGTTATGTACTCTAATAATGTCTAGATTTTCATCAGATTTTGTTTCCCTAATTTTTAAAATGAAGTTTTTATTCTGATTATGTATTAAATTAATAACTCATCTTTTGATACACATATTCAACAAAAATCTTTTGACACACTCAGTAAAAAAGTCCCTTATATTTCGCCTAGAGACCTTTTGATTAAAATATGTGGGCACCCATGGTAAACATTGTAAACTCTTAGAATCATTTACCTTGGTTTGACGAGTGATTTTTAAAAAGGGGACCTAGTGAGACAACTGGAGGGAAGGGAACTTCTGGGAATATGGAAGTAGAATGGAGTCAGATTTCTAGGAATCTCCCTCTTTCAAAATTCCCTTCTCTAAAGTTTAAGTATTTATTTTACATACTGAGCTGTTGAGCTTTATCAGTTCTTTTCATACCACTAAGTAGACCTTTACTAAAGCAGTTTTTATAAAATAGCCCAGTTAATCCCATGCAGTTAACTGGTCCATGCCCCTAGATTTTCTAATGAAGTAGTTTTTTGTTATGCAGATACAACTAATGTCATAAAATACTGAATTTCCTGAATTGTCTATCAGATTCTGATTTGGTATCTACAGAGATACAGAATATTTGTTCTTTTATTCTGAACCTTAGTTGGAACTTTTTGATTCATGACAAGCATACCAAAACTCCTATGATTTTAAGCAACAGTACCCCAAGTCCAAGTATTTGTTTTTCACTTAAAAGAGTTAATATTCATCACATGCACAGGACAGTTTTCATTCTGTTTCTCTTCCACTACCTAAACTACTTGGTCATCATCCTTAAGCTAGATAACTAAAATTTTCTAAGTTGTTCTAATAAAGCATTTTCATAGCACTAAATTCTGTTATGTTCTATTGGTCTGCCACAAGAGTTTAAGAGCTTATTTGGAGGAAGCAAATGTTTGTATCATTCTCTGTATGTCTTCTTTTCCATAACAGATTTTTATAGAAACTATCATTTCTTATTGTTTAATCTCCTTGGAGTTATAAAGGAAAAAGCCATTTCAAATGAAGGGTAACTACATGATATTTTTCAATCAAAGAATTTCCATGAAACTTGTTTTTAACTGGAGAAAATGTGGAAACACGTTTACATACATTCTGTTGTTCAAAATGTGGGTTTTTTTTAAACAAGTAGGATTACTGTTGATGTCATATGGATGTCATATACCCCTTAATGTGATGAAAAAGTAGTTCACTTTTAGTTTTCCTCTCAAAAATTCAGAACCCTAATGTAATGAGAAAAATATCTTGCAAATTCAAATTCAGGAGTATTATGAGGATACCTGACCAGTACTCCTTAAAAACTGTTAAGACACAACATGAAAACAGGAAAGACTGAGAAATTGTCATAGACCAATCAATAAGGAGACAAATAGCAAAGTGTGATGTGGTATCCTGGATTGGCTCCTAGAACAGAAAAAGATACTAATAGGAAAACTCACGTAATTATAAAGAGTTTTGTTGATGTTATGTTCCAGTATTTCTTAGTTTTGACAAATAGGCCATGATAATGTAAGTTTGACATTAGAAGAAAACTGAAACTGAATGAGATGTACACAGAAACTCCCTGTATTATCTTAAGTAACTTTTCTGGAAATCTAAAGTTACGGTTTTGGTTTTGGTTTTGGTTTTGGTTTTGGTGTGTGTGTTTTTGTGTGTGTGTGTGTGTGTGTGTGTGTGTGTGTGTGTGTGTGTGTGTGTTTTAAGTAAAGCATTGAGGAGTTCTGCCTCTGGTTTGGCAGAGCCAGTCTTAATAGTCTTAACAGACTGACCACTCTGTGTAGAACAGCCATAACATCTGAACAAAATACAAACAATAGCAACTCTATGTGGGTTCTGAAGAATGGGCAGAAGTTGGGAGATTTTGCAGAGTAATTCAAATAAGAAAGAAAGCACCAACATACAGTGAATTTCCTGTTTTTAAAAGATTTAAGCCTAAGGCAGACTACAGTCACATCATAGAGCGAGGTAACTAAAGCTCACAAAAAATAAAACATAATATCTCCAGCCTGAAGAAACAGTCTGAGTAAATGCTAACTACTGGAAAATGGGAAAGGGGGATGTCTCAAAAAGCACATCAGAGAAGGGAAGGTTTACATTCTGTGTATAGACTAAGTCTCAGTCTGACCATTGAACCCCACATGCATGAGATAGACTCCAAGTAGCTTGAAGCTAAGACCAAAGCAATTTAACTGAGTTGCTGACCACCACAGATGAAATTAGTTTATAACTTGAGTTAATAAAATTCATTGTCTGCTAAAACAAAAATGTTAATGCTATTTTACAAATATAACAGAATGCAGAGTCTCTGAGGTAAAGCATTTATAAAGTTCAGAACACCATCTAAACTTCCTTGACATAAATAACAAGTAAAAAACAAAATGTAATCAATAGAGGCCAACCCTGAGATGACCCATATGTTGAATTATTAGAAAAGATCTTAAAAGCAGCTTTATTAGTGTGCCTGGAAGGTGAAAGGAAACACCAATTGCAATTAATAAAAAGGTAAGAAGTCTTGGCAGAGAAATAGAAAATATTTTAAAAGGCTAAATGAAAATTTTGCAACTGAAAACTACTATACTTTAAATAAAAAGCCTTATGTGCAAAATGGAGGAGTCAGTGAATTTGAAGATGAAGCAATACAAAATGTACAATCTGAAGATCAGAGAAAATACTTTTTAAAAGTGGAACAAGTGCACCATGTATTTGTGGGAAGATGTCAAAAGATAACATCCATGTATTGGAAGCCCAGAAAGAAGAGAGAAAAGCCCAGACAGAAGAGATACTTGACAATATAATATTTTAAAACTCCCATATATGATGAAAAACAACGTACAGGGTTAAGTTCAATAAACCCCAAACAAGATGAGTATGAAGAAAAATACACTTTATATTGTGGACCAACTGCTCTAAATCAAAGATAAGAGAAAAACTATGAAAGCAGTCAGAGAAAAACAAGGCATTACATAGAAGAGAATAACAATTTGAATTATTGTGGACTTCTCATTAGAAGCTATGGAAGTCAGAAGAGATAAAACATCTTGCAAGTATTGAAATTTTTTTTTATATTTCACATGTTGAAAAAAAACTTTCAAAGTAGAATACAGTATCCTGAAATAAAGACTCAAAAAAAAACTTGTAATTTTTTCCAGTAGATAGTTTCTACAAAACTTAGTTAGTGAAAACTTTCAAGGCTAAAATGATATAGAAGGAAACATGAATCTTAGGAAGGGATTAAGACAATTGGAAATCACGCGTGCATGTGTGTGTGTGTGTGTGTGTGTCAGTAAATATCAAAGAAATCTGAGTCTTGATCAGCTTGAAATGCAAGTAGGATAGTAGCTTAAAAAGCTATCTTTTCTTCCCAGTTAGTAAACTACCTATAAAGAAACAAATAATAAAAAAACTAATAGCCTTGCCAGGCATGGTGGTGCTCACCTGTAATCCTAGAACTCAGAAAGCTGAGTCTGGAGGATTGCCACAAGTTTGAGGCCAGCCTGAACCATAGGGAAACCCCATCTCCAAAAATGAAACAAACAAAAAAACTGTATAACAATGAAATCTGAAACTAACAACTGCCAAATATATAAGAAATTCCCAATTGAAAAGCACAAACAATGTGAATTTTCCATGGTTTACTTTGGGAAACGAGTAGATACCCGCATCTCAAAAAGGGCCAGAGGAATTTCCTATCTCTGCCAGTACGTGTACTCTGATTTACAAACACAGGGATCTTTGTATACCAGAAAAACAAATGCTATGTCTGATTTTATATATAACTACATGATATATTCGGAACATTGTTTAAGACAGAGGAATTACTTAAATCTGACAATAAGAATAATATTTTAAGTGAAATTCCTAAGATGTGTCTTAGACTACAGAATCTTACAGATCAAATTAAAACTCACCCATTTTGCTAGCCTGATAGGAAATCTGATTTTCTTCTTTATTATATGTCTTATTTCATAAAGTAGAACCAGAATATAGGACACTTCTGGAAACTCCAAAACAGAAAAAAAAAAAAAAATGTTACTGGCCTTCATTGTATTGTAAACACTTCTAATGTCATCTTTATGCACAGAGCTGTCTTTTTACACTCAGAGGTGTTCCAACTTTTTACCACATGTGCAGGAGAGAGATCTTGGCTGATACAAAAGTTGGTGCCTAGAACTCAGCCTTTCCACTAGTTCCTGAAAGCTATTTTCTCTGAGTTCAATTTTTTTTTAGGGTATCTGAATTAATAATGTAGTCCTCAGCTCACATTGAGGGATAACAGACCTCATTAATCCTCCATAATTTAAAAGAATCTTCCAGTCTGCCTTGCCCTTTGGCTTTCTCCTAGATAAACTGCATTATTCTCACTTCGGTCTTAGTATCTTTTAAAATGTGCTGTAAAACACTAAGAAATACATTGACTTTGGAGTACTTAATCCTGTAAAAATGCCTAGGACTAAGAAGTACTAAAGAATGGGGAGTCCTGGAGTAGAAGAAGGTAAAATAAAAAATTACACAACATATGCTGTATATTCAAACAATAAATATTGTATATCTATGATAATAATATGGACAAATGTCACAAGTATATCAATAAAATGAAACCAGACACAAAATGATGTATGCTATATGGTTACATGTATGTAAAGTACCTGAAGAAGCAAAATTCTTCTGTGCTTCTGGAAAGCAGAATAGTGGGGACAAGTACCTGAAAAGGAGCATTTTCCAAGGTGATTTTCTGTATCATAATCTGTTTTCTGGTTTCACAGGTGTATTCACTTTATAAAAATACTTCAAGCTGCATACTTAAAGTTTGTGCTGTTTTCTGTATCTTATATGTCAGTTTAAAAATACTAAGAAGTGTATCAAAGGAGCTTTGAAAAAACATTGGGTCAAAAACATCTATTTTCCAACATAGACTTGTGCTAAATAAACCCCCGATTTGACATTAGTGAACCTAGAAAGCCTGTTTTAGAAAAGAGACTATACTAAAAGGAAGGAATTGTGAATGATAGAAATTGTATGGTCAGTGATTTAAAAAATAGACATACTATACTTTTTTTTTGGTACTGGGGATCGACCTCAGGACCTTACACTTGCAAGGCAGATGGCAGCAGTACTGAGCTAAATCCCTGGCCCAAAATAATATACTTTTTGATGACCAGCCTTGGAAGATTATGAAGAAAGCTGCTTAGCAACAAAGTTAGAAACAAATTACAAATATTCTTTTTCTGTACCATGTCTTTGTTTACTAGAAGTACAGTTTTAAAACTTGTGAATGGCAAGATTATATAGGAGGACAGTTACAGTGGCTCATCCCTTTTCCCAGCACTCAGGAGACTAAGGCAGGAGGACCTTGGTGAGTTCGAGGCCAACCTGAACTACCCTGTGAGACCATCTCCAAAAAAAAAAGAGAGAGATACTATAGGAATTAATTTGAAATTATTTTTAGCTTTAAGAATTAAAGGCAGCTGTGACAGCAGCAGAAACATTACTAGTAATAATTTAGTTGTGAATTCATCTTAATTAGGTTACAGTAATTTTTTTCTATGAACTAATTTACTAAATTCAAGTTTTGCTTTATGTGTTTAAAATAAAAAAGTTCTTTTTTCTAACAACAGACTGGTTTCTGGGTTGAGATATTTTTGTCTATATGACAAATTTTGTTTTCATCTCAGTATTAAGTATATTTTCTATTTATATGGCACTTTAAGCTGAAAATACACTGAGAAAATTAACCCAGTTTTACAGGTAGGGAGATTTGAAGCTTAAGTTAAGTGACTTTCCCATCATCAACTAGCTTGCATATAGATTCGAAATCAGGCATTTAAATTCCAAATCAAGTATACTTTCTACTAAAATAGTTACCTCCTGCTGACCTAATACTATGCATAGAAAGAGCAATAAAGTATGAAACAGGCCTGCCGCAGATTTAAAAACCTGCATTTGATTGTGTAATTTTTCCAAGGGGGCATTTTTACCTCTGGGATTTCCAGAACACAGTTATGCAAAGGTCTCAGATTATAAGCACAACTACAAAAGTAACAACATGCTGTTGATATTTTCATGTGGATTGGCAATCTTTAAAATCTTGCCATAAGTATTTTATGTGGTTTAATTGTTACCTTATATTTTCTTTTTTTGCAGTTCTCCAGAACAAAAAGACAAATGGCTCTCCCTCCTTCAGAGGTATTTTTCAGTATGCTCACTTTTAATCTTTAACTGGCAAGAAAGGAACTAAAAACTTTCTACAGAGATATGTCCCGAACTACTCCCCTTCTTAATGCAAATTGTTCCTTTGTCCTCAATATAAGCCACATATTATACTATGTAGGTTGTACACTAGCTACTACTTGCTGTAAATAATGTCCTCTCATTAGAGGTATTTCTTCTTTCTAGAAAAGAGAACATTGAGCTCTAGTTAGATCATTTTGGACAAATTAGTAATCTCTTTCTGCTGTTTCTGAGCTACCATTTGGAGTTAACAGGTTCTTCAAAGTGTGTATTAAGTTTTCATAAATGCAAGTTTTTTCACAGAGCACCTCAAAAATCCATAATTATCCCTACTATTGAGCCTGTGGACCAATGCAGCCAATGTAGGCTCAGTGGTTATGCCCACAACACCCCTGCAAGCAGGAGAGAACCAACATTTACACTTCACTGGAATACAAAGTGAAAGGGGAAAGGCCATTGTTTTGTTTTGCCTATCAGAGTATTATATGTGTTCCAGACTCATTCAGAGGTGACAGACATTAAGGGTAAAATGTCACCCAGAGGTGCCTTAACCTAATTGTTTCTTTACCTCACTTGACATTCGTATCCCATTCTTTTTTGTGCCCATGCCTAATGTCCTGAAATTTATTCAACCCATAATATAATCTGACTTTGCTGAGTCCTTCATGTCTTTAAAAATACCATATACATATATTTAAAATATTACCAAATAGATTTAAAAATAAACCATTAGTGAATACCATCTGACTCAGTGTTGTTTTGGGTTGTTGTTGCATTTGATTAGATACATCAATCTAGAGAAAGAGAAGGACTACCCGAAGAGCATTCCCCTCAAAATCTTCGCCAAGGACATTGGGAATTGTGCCTATGTAAGTGTTTCTCAGCCAGAAAACTAAATTCCACATCCCTGCGTAAGGCAGAAAACTCCATGGTTCTAAAGAGTCAGGCAGGTGCACAGACAGTGTTTGTGCTGTGACAGGCAAGCATTTAAAAATATTGTAAGGATCAGTGCATTTTTGTAGAGACAGACAGACATCTTTGCATGTATGTAAATTAAACCCTAGAGAAAATGAAACAAAAATTTTCTATTAACTGCAGTATTTAGCATTTATACTTGGAAAGAATATTGCTTTTCAGATGTCTTTTTCTTCCTTCTGGCATGAATGTTTCTCTGAAATCTTTTCAATAGCAAGTACAAGGGCTTGTAGTAAAGCTCTTCCCACAAGGAGGTATTTTCTATATAAGTAAGCAATTTTTTCCAACTTGTCACTTCTTAAATCAAGAGTCGCTCTGAAAAGTTGCTCATTTCTTGAGTTTTTAGGCATTGAATCCCTCAGGTTAAAATGTGATGGCACTTTAAGAGGCGAGATGTTATCAATGATGAACATGATAAAAAACATTTTTGTGTTTCTGTGGACTGTCATACTTCCACTCTAGATCACATAGTTTTGTATGTGGAGAAATACGTAGCACAAAAGTTATGTTTGGTCAAAAGCAAAAGTTACAGGAATGTTAGTGCCAGTTGTTAGTACTTGAAGAAATACTCAAATTTTTATGGTTTTAGACTACAAAGATCTGTAGCAAAAGGAAGGGAGGAAGGGAAAGATTCCCTTTCCTGCTTTGATTCAGTTATTGTTGCAGTTGATTACATTAGGGATTTTGTAGGCAATACCTTGATTACTTTATGTATTGAAGTTATGTGCTTGAGATGTCCAACTCTTCATTTTGCAAAAGGGACGTGGTCAGGTTGGAGTGTTCTGCTTTTATTACTAGTGCTGTGAAGAAATAAGTCAAGGATGAAGTGACACACATACTATTTTGCCCTCTAAAGTAATGTGCAAGACAGGAATCTTTTAGGCTGCTTTCAGAGTGATCCCCTGCAAGAGTAGTGTATATTTGTAAAGTGTGTTTTAACCTGGGCCCACCTGCCAGTGAATTCTGCTAATATGGAACAGCATCGTAACATTTGCAGTCTTGTCTACTTGGTTACTTTTTTACTAGCTAAAAAGCTCTGTCTTCTGAAATTGATTTCTTTAGTTAGTCTCCCTGATAGGCATGCAGGGAAAGATATATGTCCTATTATTTTTAACAAATGTGCCACATGTTAAGACAAATTATCTTAGAAGCCAGGTATTTGGGAAGATAGGTTCTCACTATATGAAAGACTTTATGAGACAGTTTCTTTAAATTAAATGGAAGTGATTTCAGTTTTTTTTTTTTTAAAAGCTGAAGCTGTTTTGAAATTAGTTTTAAAGTCTGGTATGTAGCATTCCTATGCCACCCTAGCAAAAGATAGATTGTGGGTTGGTTACTTCAAGCCCTCTCTGTTAGGATCCAAGACACTTTTGCGTAATCCTTGGAGCTACACAGGGAGCATATTTTGAAATTAATGTATTTAAAGTGTTTTTTAATAAAATTCAATTAACAAGCAACTTTTAGAAATTCTTTGTCCTGTCAAGTAATTGGCATGTATGGAAGAAATACTGTAACAGGACAAGTGATAAATTGTCAGTGGATTTTTAATTAGCTTTACTTTTTATGTCCTGTTTTTTATGACATTTTATTATATGCTGCCTTTCATTTGTGCCACATTAGTTTTGTCTATCAGCCATATGTTCCTACTTGCTGGTTTACCTGATAATTGGCATATGTAAAACTGACCTGCAGAGCAAAAAATATTTTTGGTAGGGTAGCGATGTATGTAATGTCTTTTGGAATTCAGTGACCTTTATAAATATCTCAGAATCTTAATTCCATTTCTGTTTCTTACAGATTATCTATTTTTAAGTAGCAATCTCAATGTAATTTAGCACAGAGTATCAATGATACCCTATGTGATGACAGTTGGTAACCAAATAGAGCTTTCTGAAATTTTCAGCTTTTTTTCCTTAGATTCATCAATTTTAAGTCTTCTAAAGATTTCAACGATGAAAATCTTAGTAGCCACAGTACCAGACACACAGAAAACACTCAATAAATAATTTAAAGCTTTAATTACATTTTGTAACTAGTTCTTATGATTTTACTTTAGCTGATTTTATAGCATGCAAAGAAATAAAAGCCTATACTGCGAAAGTAGTATATAGAATAAAATTTTGTCCAAAATTCCCATTACGTTATGGAAATGGGGGAAAAGGAACAGCCTCACGGGGGTGGGGGGGAGACAGTGTTGTGTGTGTGTTTGTGTGTGCAATGAATAGGAGTGTGTCCATTCCTCTCTTTGAAATATGCATTTTTTTTTACTTTTTTAAGTTCTTATATTCTGTGAGCCACGTATCCTTTTAGAGAAAAAAAATGATAAAGAGCCTAACGTAGCAGGGAATTAAAGTAACTCACAACCAAGAATTTGTGCTCTACTTTAGTCTTTTGCTTTACTTGGCCCATGCTTGAAATCCAGATGTTCCTTTAGATAGTATAATCATTTGACAATATTATTTGTTCACCTTTCTTAAAATTATTTATATTTGTATTTCTTTTTTTCCTACAGTCTAAAACTATAACAGTAACGAATTCAGATACAGCGAATGAAGTTATCAACATGTCACTACGAATGCTAGGGATAAATGTAAGTTACTCTCATTATTCTTAATTATAAACATTGATACTTTAGTTTCAAAGAAATGTTTAATTTTGATGTATTGTAACCTTCAATCATAAGACAGCTCACTATTAGTTACAAAACTCATATTTTGTCCCTCAAAATCCAAAAAATAAGGACAAGAAAAGCTTATTACCATAATATATAGGCACCATTTTATATTTTAAAACCTGTAAGAACTAAAAAGTATATGATTGGACTATAATTTTTAGAGTAATATATTTTTATTATATATGTTGTATACAAACACAAAAAATTTCAGGGGATACTAAGAAAATTTCAGCCACCCTCCTCTTCCTTCGTAGTGCTGTTTGACTCTTCTCCCTGATCTGCTTATCCTGTTGTTATTACAGGATTCCATCTTAGGGTCATAAATTCTGAAAGACTTTCTCTATCAAAAGTCTATGTCAGATTTTTACATAAGCAACACTTGTCTATATGCTGTATTGGCTGGCTGCAGGTCCTGAGGATGGTATAGATGGTACCTTTTAAGGACTAGTAAATTTTTAAAAGACCATTTTTAGATCATGGATTTGAAGAATTTTAGTATCATACCATACCATACTCTTCCCTATTTTGCTTTTATCTTCTGGCCCTTTCTTTTTCTGGGGTAGAGGTGAGTTTTTCAAATGCTCGTAGTGGAAAAAATTAGAATATTTGCCTTCCTGCTAGTTACATAAACATCACACGATGAGCACTTTTAGTAAAGGGAATGGGTTTTAGGTTCCATCCTTCTAAGAAAACACTTGAACATTTTTAGTGAGATTCTTTGTTATTAAAACACATATCATGACAAGTTTAAGACATTCCATAATATTATTACATTTTGATGTTGTCTTAGTTACTTTTCTCTCCTTGCTGACACAAAATACCCAACACCCAAAGTTAAAGGGGAAAAGGTTTATTTGGCTTACAGTTTGTAGAGGTTTCAGTCCGTAATCAGCTGGCTCCAAGGCAGAGTGGCAGAAAGGCAACAGTTCATGTTAGTGGAAGGTACCAAAAATAACAAGGGACCTTAACAGCATCTTTGTGCCTTTTATTTTATCCAGACTACTTAGGGTAGGTAGCACTCATACCCTTAATCCTAGTGCCCTCAGGCCTAGCACCGCATCATGAATCAGTCACACACTCTAGATGGAGCCATCTCTGAAAAATCTCCACCTGGTTCACATGAGGCTTTGGGGGGATATCTAAACACAAACCGTAAAAGATGTGCTCTTACCTAATACTATGCTAAGCCCTTAAGAATTCAGAACAACTAAAATGTAGGATAAGAAATATTAACTTGTAAAATTTAATGATATATTTAAAATGTAATTAAATTTTGTATACACTGTAGCATGGGGTAAAGCAGGCATCTCTGCATCAATTTCTAATGTATTTTATATATCTCTTAGTAAATAGTTTTATGAGTAGGAAGGGAAATTAATCATAACTCATATTCCTATCTGTGCTTTTCCTTTAGAAAAGTAATCAATCTTCTCAGATCAAAAATACATTAAGAATGTAAGCTATCTGGTTATACCTGCTCTAGGGTACTTTTACAGTGTTTTCAGATACTATATAAAACTACAAATAATTGAGGGGATTGAACCCAAGGCCTTCTCCCTGAATTACATCCTCAGCCCTTTATGTTTTACTTTGAACTAAGAGTCTCATTCAGTCACTGTGTTCCCCAGGCTGGGTTTGGACTTGCAGTCCTCACCGTCCCAGTCTCAGGATTACAGGCATGCACCACCACACCTGGATAAAAAGAAAAGATTTTTGTTAGATTGTTCTTCCTCCTTTACTAAGGGATCGGGCAAGGAAGATATGACTGCAAAGAGTGGGGAAGGGGCAAGTGGCAATCTGTATGGTACTCTCCAGAGCCACGTACCCTTATTAAAAGATAGAATCATGATTTTAATTAGAAGTTAATTAGAGGGCCCGGGGATTTAGCTCAGTGGTTCAGTGGCCTGCCTTGCAAGCGCAAGGACCCGAGTTCAATCCCTGGTACCAAAAAAATAAAAGAAGTTAATTAGAAGGCAAGAATGTGAAATATTGCCAACAGACCTGAATATCTCTTCTAGCTTTGTTTTAAAAAAATGTTTGCTTTATCCCTCCTAAAAGATTTGTTTCTTTCAAGTGGGACTTATAGTGTTGCTGGATTATAATTCTGCTGGTGAAAAATTTTATTGTTTTCCATGACTAAACCTATTTAGATAGAATTCTTTTTTTCCTCTCGCTCTCATTGAGTTTATTGGTATATTTTAGATATTCAGTACAGTTACATTCATTACTGGGATCTTGTACCTTTACATAACAGGTCTTGGTTCTCATTTTTTCCCCTTGTCCCTGCCCTCCCTTCACCCCCTCCTACCCTCCCCATTTACAAACACTTTATTTCCATTTTTTTCATTTTCTCATATTTTTTTTCTTTTCCCTTATTACCTTTCCCCTACCCTTCCCACTTTCCGTATACCTTTAGCAATTTTCTTCCTATTATCTCTAGATAGAATTCTAATTCTTTCTGACTCCCAGACTGGACTTGCCCAAAATAAAGCCATTGCAGACTGTGCCAAGTACCTATCTCCTCAAAGCCTTTGGTCATTCTTCTGCTCAGAAGCAACTGACCTAATAATTAGCCTTTGAGATTTTACTTTTTAGTCATAGGCACAGCAGTGTTTGTGGCTTTCTGGGTAACAAGGTTGTCTTTACACGGTCATGATGGTTCAGTTCATTATTTTTCTGAGAAGTCCAGAAACATCACAGAAATGAGGATTCAAAAGAAAAGATTAGCTTTTCAGAGTCACAAAGTTTGTTCTTCCTTTGAAAAAAGCACATTTCATGAGCTTGCTGACACAGGGAAGGTCCAGTTCAATTACAGTTTGTGAATCCCTGTTCAGCACTTGGAGAACAGGATTCCCAAGTCCTTGGAGAATGGGAGGTGGGTTGTAGGAATTAGCCTACTGTACCATCTTAAAAACTGTAACACTCCCATGAATCTGAATAGCATTTATATTGTCTGCAGGTTTTTCTTTTTCAAAACATAAAAATGTAAAATAAAAGTGTTGCTTTTGTTCAAGTACCAAATATGAAAAAAATTTTTTTTTAATCTCCCAGGGTTCTGAGAGAGATTACCAGTTATGGGTCAATTCTGGAAAAGAAGCAGCACCATACCCACTCATTGGTAGGTTTCTGTGAAAATCTAAGATAGCACTGTGTTTTAATCTTAATTCTAAATGTCTCAAAATTGGTTATTTTCCCTAAGCGTAAATACTATTAAATCTCATTTGATATGTACTTAATATCTGTTCATCTTTTTCACTCAGGCAGCTGAAAAGGTATAATTAAGAAACCAATTTTCCTCTTTGCCTTTTCACTTTGAAGTCAGAACTGTCTTGCCAACTGTTTTTCTGTAAGAAAACAATATATACTGGTATTATTTTTTTCCATACATTTGTTTTTCATATTCAGTTCTTGAATTTTATGTTCTTTTTCCTACCAACCACATTGCTTCTTTAGGAAATTAATCCAGTTTTGCACCTCAGTCAAACACCTGCCCCATGCCCAAAACTCTGCTGAGTGTCATAAAGAAATAATTACCTCATTATGCCTCCAAAAAGTCCTTGCAGACTAATTTACCAACTACTACTTCACTAGCCACCTTTTTCTGTATCCAAATTTTCCAGCATTTGTTTTGAGAAAATACTGACAGATTACATCTTATGCACAGAGATGAGTGCAAAATTGACCATATTTTAGGTCTATGTTTTGATGCTCTGATTTTTATAAAAGGAAATAAGCAACAATGAAAATTGTCGTTACCTAAAATTATTTAAATAAATTAGATTGAATTAAAACTAGGTAAATGGCAATTTTTAGGCTTGCTGTAGTTTCAACTTTCATTACTAGCTTTTACTGAAAAGCCACGAGACATGGCTGTCCCATACTTAGCAACAGTTTTTTCATGTTTGCAATATATAATGAATATATTCATGGTGGGATATTAGTATATCGTATACATATCACATATTGATTCTTTTTTATTTCCCCTTTTATGTGCCTTGTAAAACAATTGTAAATTCCCTGCTATTTTGATAAATGAATTTTGTATTATTGCCTTAAACTCTGGAAGTTGCTATAATGTGTAAATCTTAATACACTTATATTTTATGCCTATGCCAGGAAGACAGAGTTCATTCATCAGTAAGAGTTCAATGATCAGAGAAATTACTCTCTCAACAAAGAATCTATAGCATGTAGTATTTATGATTACACTAAAGGGACTCAGTGATTTTGGTACTAAAGAACAAAAAATCACAGTTTTAGTCAGATGTCCAGCTTTTGGTTTTTCTACTTTGTAAATTCTCTTTTTCATCTGTGTCTGTATTTCTAAACCTGAACAATTTTCCTTATGATTATGGCCTGTGAACACCAACTTCAGGGCAGCAGTAAGAGGCAGGCACAAAACAAACCAGTCCCAGATACTCTTGAAATGTTTATTTTTCAGACAAGCATGCAAGATAATTGTAGTTGTGATGCTAGAAAATCTAGTTCTTTGTCCCTCTTTAAGTAATTTCAGCCATACATACATACTTATTTAATCCTTTAACACTTGATATGTAGGGTAAATGTTTAAATTGTGACTTTATTAAAGATTTATAGATCTAGTGGGTGTCAGAAAAAGTCAGCCATTGTACCATTTCACAAACTGATCTATGCAATCCTTCCTAATACATTCTTTAAAGATGTTTTTTGATTGCCCCTCTATAAAACTACTTTAGTAAGGCCCTCTGCATTGTTCAGTGGCCTCCTACTCTTAAGAGTCATTGTAGTCATTCAGTCAAAAAAGGACTCTTTACACCAGAAACCCCAGGAGTTAATTCCACTGCATTCCAGTCTATCATATGTGCCTACACTGCCATTCAGCTTGAAGTCTACACTTAGATTTCTCTCTTTGCAGGGCATGAGTATCCCTATGGGATTAAAATGAACCACCTTCGAGACACTGCATTTCTGACACAGGGATCAAAGGACTCTGCCACCCTTTCTAACCTTCAGGAGCCCTTCCTCATGGAACAGCTGCCCCGAGAAATGCAGTGCCAGTTCATCCTGAAGCCCAGCCACCTGGCTGCCACCCAGCATCTAAATGGTGAGTCACTTCTCCTCCATCATAGAGCATTTTTTCAGCAATACTTTTATTTCCTGAGCACAAACTTAATGCAAAGACAGAGACTCAAATTTCTACCTAGATGAGGTATTTTTGTTTGTTTGTTTTTGGTACTGGAGATCAAACTCAGGACTTGCATTTTTGTGGTTGGCAGCGGAACCACTGAGCTAAATTACCAGCCCTTAGATGAGGTATTTTTAAATAAGTGCTTTAAAAAGAAAAGATGGAATTTTAGAAGGTGATGTTATATAAATGAGCAATTAACCAGCATCAAATAGCAGTGCAGCCTGTCCTTTCATCATTATTCTTTGCCCTTTAATTTTATGTCCATTGTTGAGTTAAAGGCACAGGCAGCGCTGCAGGTGCTTCAGTGCCTTCTTTGTGCTGCAATACACTTCACTGTGTGTTCCCTCTAAATGGTCATATTATAAAGAGGAGGCTGTCGGTGATGGGTGTCAAAAGACTGATGCCCTGTATGGACCTTTGGTATTGATAATTATTTGAAAATTAACATGATTTTTATGGAAATCTCTCCTTAGCCTACTAATCTGTGTTCCCTGTAAACAAGGCTTCTAATGTCCTCAGTTACTCAGCTATTTTCATCAAAAGGATAATGTCTTAGTTATTTTTCTCTCATTGCTGAGACAAAATACCTGATACCCAAAGTTAAAAGGAAAAAGGTTTATTTAGCTCACAGTTTATAGAGATTTCAGTCCAGAGTTGGCTGACTCCAAGGAAGAATGGCACACATGGCAGAGGGGCATCTCAGAGGAGAACAACAGTTAATGGCACCCACAAGGTAGCAAAAAGCAACACGAGAAGTTTAACACAATCTTTGTGCCCCCTTTATCTTATCTGGACTTCCAGAATCGGGGCAGTGCCAAACCAATCAGTGTACTAGTTTAGTACTCACACACCCTTAGTTCCAGCATCACATACTCCAGATTCAGCCACCTCTGAAAAAGCTACCTATGAACATGTAAGGCCTTGGGGAACATCTAGACTCAAACCATACTCTTGAATCTTAAGTTTTCTAGATACATGTCTGTATCTATTACAACTACACAAGATTTAATCAACTCACCATTCTTAAATGGTCTTCCTTGAATTGGGTAACAAAGGAGCCTCTCAAACTTTTGTTAGAGCTTCATTTTCATTCTTTATTTTGAAGAAATGCTGCAAAGATGAAACATTTCCATTTTAAATATTCTAATTTTTCTGATCATTGCTTTTATACATTGATATGCACTTAGTGTGATATATATAGTGTATTCTCTTACCACAGCCATAATACCATTGTACAATAAGCATGATACAATCATACATCGGTGTACTCAACTGCTTTGAAACTACTCAAGTTTGATACCCAAAAATTTTTCCTTGGCTGAGTGTGGTGGAACACACCTGTAATCCTGGCACTTGGAGGCTGAGGCAGGGGGAATCATTGCATGTTCAGGGCCAGCATGTGCTGCATAATGAGTTACTACGTAGGAAGACACTGTCTTCAAAAAAACATTTTGTTCTGGTCCTGGTTCTTGATTTAATATTCAATGTACAAGTTAGAACTTGTTAATGCAAGTTAGAACTTGGCACTGTCAATTATTTTGTGGACTGCTACTTTTTCCAGCTAAAACAATTTGGTACCTTTTAATGAAGAGCATCAAGGTATCACTGTACTTTGTCATATAATTCAGTAACAGCATCATTCACTATGCCCTTAAAAAAATCAACATTAGAAATCCACTTTTCTCTTGTTTCAATATGATGAGTAATGAACAAGTAATATATTACAGTATCATGGTACCTGTGGCTATTGAAACAGTGCTGAGATACAGTGGAGTCACGGAAGCTTGTAGTTCCCTGAGCAGAAGAGCAAATAAGGGTACCACACAACAGCTCACAGCTATTCAACTATTCCATAGAGTACAAAGCAAGAACAACCATAGGCAATACTGGAACATATAAGTGGGGTTGTATTCCAGTAAAGCTATTAAGAACAATGAAATTTGAATTTCATTCTTATGTTTCACTACCTATTAGCTGGATAGTCTTTAACCTTTTAAAAATGTAAAAACCATTCTTCACAGGCTATCCAAAGAGAGATGGCAGGGCAGTGTAACAGTCAGAAACATCCCACTAAACTCTCAGTATTCTACTGGACTTTGTAATGGAGCTTTCCAAGTAACATAATCATCTCATTTGACTTTTCTCCATTCTCTTTATTTGTTTTGGAGTGCTTTAATTAGAAATGGAAAATCCAGAGGCTTATGGAAAAGCCTATAGAACCATGAAGAGTCTAGAAATTGTACAAATGAAATCACTCACCCCTGGATGGTACTTTTCATGGTGTTATAAAATAATTTCTACATAGAACTTAACAATTTATAGACTATTTTCTTTTAAGCTTCAAAACAACCATTTAAGATTACATTATTAACTTAGTTTTTAAATAAGCGGACTCAGACTGTGACCGCATTGTTACCAAGTGTGTAACAGTGGTGGAGCTGAAACATCACACACATCTTCTGTTCGGAGTCTCTGTTCTTGTGACTACACCTAACTGCCCCACTGTGTAGGCTGTTAGCACTAACTCCCTTTATAAGACAGAATACTTTACATAGTATGTCTTACTGCCAGCATTCTCATTGCTTCTATTACTGCTCTTGCTGTTTAATGCCAACATGCCAGTCTGAAGATTATTAGAGATTTTTATTACTTACATAGCTTTATTATGATATAGGAAATATGACCATATGATTATCAGAGTGGCATACATTATTTAAAATCCATAGAATTCAAACTTTAAATTAATTAGTTCTAGGAAGTAGATAGTTTGCATGGAAAATCAAACCTTATTTTTAAGGTTAGCAGCATAAAAGCAGCAGCTAATTTCTATGAGACTATTGGATGACAACAATTACCACCTGAATTAAATGAGCCACAGTTAGAACGTCAGGTCTGTTTCTGATAGAGGTTTTTTCCTACTTAGCTTAAGGAAAATATCCCTGTTAATCAGTATAACCTTAGGTGAGCATAGTCATCCCCATTCTTTTCTTTCAAATTCTGCCTCAGTTTGGAAAACACCCCCTACTGAAGAGTTTCACACTGCAGATGAAGTAGCAAGTGATAAGGCCATCCCTGAGACTTAGATCATCCTAACTTGTCTTTGGGGTGGTTGGTTCCCAGTGAAATGACTGCAGTGTAAGTGCGGAGTTCAAGATGTATGCATTCAAATATCTGATCTCAAGACCTAACTTAAGTGTCACTGCTAGGAAGTCTTCTCTTTGAGGCAGCTGTTCGCTCCATTTCAGGGTCTCTAGAGCATGTGATACTAACGTCTAGTAAAATATATTTTAAAATGTTATGCCTATTTATCTACATGTATCTTTAGAATGTGAGTTTCTTAAAGCATGCAAACCCATTCCGAGGTTTAGTCTAATATGTAAAACAGAGCCAAAGTTAAAAGAAAGATTGAAAGGCTTAGTTATGCCTAGTATAACTGGAATTGAGCAGAACAGTTGTGAAAATAAGTGGGGGTATGGTCTCTAGTAGTTAGCAGGGTTCCAAGCCTGAATTGTGCTCCCAGTTCTGTGCCATCAGCAGCTTCACTTTCCACATTTGCTTGAGACCCAAGACTAAGCTGGAATTAAACGGAGCTTTCATAGTAGATGGTAGGATATGAGGCACACCTTCTGCCTTTTTGTTCTGTCAGCCTAGTGTTCTCCTGAATCACTTTCCTACTCTGGGGAGAAGAAAGTATTCTGAAGTTGAGATGTATGGCCAGAATAGAAAGCTTTTTCTTGTTATGACTATTACTCTATATGTGTAAAGTTTTACCAGTTATAATGTTTAGTGTTCAGTTTTCTGATTTAAGCATAAAAAAGAACACCAAGCTTTAAACCTGCTAACATTATTTAGGAAAGCTAGATTTACATAAATTTAGTATTGCTTTATATTTGTTTTTATGAAAATGTTTTTATTAGCATTAGACATTTTAAAAATAAGCACTATACATTGAGTTCTGCAACAAAGTGAACTTTAATGAAATTTTTTTCTCAGTATCAGAATGTAAGTTCTCAGATCAAATGCTTTATGCAATGCAAGGCATGACTACTGCTGAAAGTATTTAGGAAAAACTAAAGAGCTCAATTTCTGCTTTATCTTTGGTCTACATTCATAAGATAGCTTGGTATATAACTTGTTGATAGAGCATTCTTCTTAAAGTGTGTGTAAACTAACTCCCAAATGTGTTAATTTTAGAAATAATAAAACAGTGTTAATATTCACAAACTTAGACATACAGGAACTGCTTTCTGGAGTTAGGAAAGGGTTGTTTCCTTCTCTGTTCTGTGTTTTTAATAACAATGGTTGAGAGTCGGGGCAGAAGGAAAATGCTGTAGTGAAGCCGAGCGGTGATTCTCCTTCATGTGTGCGTCGCATCTGAGTGAAGGCTGCTGAACCAGTGGAGAGTGGAAGGAGAGCCTGGTGTCCTGTCAACTTTAATCAAGATCATTGTGACCCAGTCCCTGGGCAAAGTATTTTTTCATATATATTCTAAACAGTCCTCTCAATAAGCCTTCAAAAAATAGGTAATATGCTTTTCACTTTAAAGATGAGGGAAGAGATTGATTCACTTGCCCATATGACTGTCCGAGGAGTCAGACGAAGCTCCCAACTGCAGAAGTTGGAGCACTGTTATGTCCCTGAGTTTGTATACCCTCATGATGTACACAATATATCCGCTGCGTAGAAATCACCGGTGAGTGGTCATGAGGCCATTTTGTAAAATGTTGCTCACTTGAGTATCTTACAGTAATTTGGCTTGTTTCATATTTGGTTTAAGTAAGTCATTCTGAATAAGTAAAGTGCTGAGTTACTCTACAACCAAACAGTACCGAAAACTTTGAAATTGGTGTTTAACATTGGTGAGATGTCCTCCTTGTGTTCCATTACCATTATAAGAAATGTTGGACAGCTCAGTATCATTTCTGGGTAGCTTGGTTGGGTAGCATAAGAAACAATGCCATGTAGCCAGTTTAACGGACCATTCCCATGCATTCTCACTAGAGTTAGATGTTTAGTGGGTATTGTTTGTGCAGGTGGCTCTTTTGAATCTACCACATAGGTGGAAGCCAGAGATGTGAATAGAATTTATCTGCAATATTTGAAGATTCCACGGTAAGATTTCCTCCTTTGTGGCAGTCCCTTTCCACTTTCCAACAGCAGTCACTACATCTGTCTCTTCTGTACATCTTCAATCCCGTATGAATACAGGTTTCTCTCCAGATTTTGCCACTCCACAACCCCAGGGCCTGCCCTCATAGTAAAAGCTGTAAGAATGAGAAATGTACCAAGGTTCCCTGCCATTCCCTTCTTGTGTCAAACTTGCACCTCAGATGTCTGTAGTCTGCAGACACTGTTTGATGCCCTTAGGCAAATTTATTTTGTTTTGTTTGTCCAGAGTTTATAATTATCAGTGCTTATGTGCTGTGGAGGTGGCAAGGAGAAAAGGGTTAACCACTTTTAGAAGTGAAACTTTAAAGAGCTGTCTTTTTATGTTCAATTTGAAAACTCTTTAACTTCTTTTTAAAAATTAGACACACATGAAATCAAAAATGTTTTGGCTCTATGGTATCATGAAATCATTCTCTGTCTGGCTCGCTTATTACTAGTTTGCTAATGTTATTTTTTTTCACATTGTCCATGCTGCCTTAAGCATATTTTTAACCTTGAAAACTAAAAAGATAAATCAGTTTTTGCAGTTACAAAGAAAAAATTTGTAGGACATTAACTTCTTGTCTCAGTGCTAAGTAGTGGAGTGAAAATCAGATGAGAAACATCCTCTGTTTCCAGGAAATAACTTAATAGTTCTCCCCCCTTCTCCTTCCATCTCACTTTTTTCTCATTATTTAATCATAATTCAATCATCAAAACTTTTAAAAATAAAAGAAGACAATATATTTGAAGATGGGAAAGCAAGAGAGAGAAACAGCATGTGCAAGCTACTCTGGATAAGTAAAGTATTCAAAAGGGAAATACTCCTTAGTCTTCGAATTTTTTGAATGCCTAGTCTCATCTTGAAGAAATGGGAAAATATGAAGTGCTTTATGCTTTGTTATAGTTCACCGAGAGAGCCTGTATTTCACATTTGAAAATTTAGTGTCAAAATTCAAGTCCCCAGTCCAGCGATGTCCAGAAATGGATGGAAGAACCCATCCTTAATTTGTAAAATGCCATAATAAATTTTATAGGTTGTGTAATCAGTAACAGTGGACAGCCATAGGCATTTTATCTTTGAGCCCTAGTAATACACTGTAAAATGGAAATTATACAAATAAGGTTAAGTCAATTAATTTTCTTAGTAATCCCACTTCTTTTTAGATTCAGGTCAGAAGACAGTTAGGAGGAGGAGATCGATCATAAACTGGGCCTTTTGGCGTGGTTCTAGCACTCACCTGGACAACTTGCCTGTGTCACCAACATCTCCTATACCAGGACAGCTCTTTGGAGTTTCTCTGCAAGATATTTGTGAAAATGATAATCTGCCCAAGTCTGTCTTGGTAAGTCTCAGTTTGACCTGAAACTAATGGGAAAAGAGAGATCTAGGAGGTAAGTCTGTCCCCAAATGGAAAAATTATAGCACTCCTGGTGTTAGCTAAAAGTCTTTATCTCTCAGGACCAGGAATTTACCTCAGTGGCACCACACCTTCCTCTTCGCAAGCACAAAAGTCCTGAGTTCAATCCCCAGTACCAAAATAAAAAAAAAAAAAACAACAACAAAGTCTTTGTCTCTTTACGTCTTCCTTTTCGTTTACTGATAGCTAAATCAGAGTATTTTTGAAGTAGGATAATCCGGTCTACTAGTTTCAAGAAAGTGATTTAAGCCTGCTGAGATAAATTTGAATGGGCTCCATACACAGAATCCACATTATCCTTCACAAGTTGTTTCTTTAAACTCCACTTGTTCTGAAAATCTCATTTTATCACTAAGCAGTGACTCCTCAGTCATACTTTTTAAAGTTTTGAAACTGGTTTTTCTTCATATGTTTAAACATTGAGATATATTTTCTGGCATTTAACCATCTGTTCTATGTAGAATTGGTGAGATGAAAACCACTGAGTTTGTATTACCTCCAGTTGATACATCAAATGATCACTCTTAAGCAACACTGAGTGTCCAGTATCCTCCTCAAAATGTAACAGGTGTGAGGCACTTTATGTTCTGTTGTGCCTATGTAAGTGCCAGACACTAGTGTAGTCACTTTGTTTTATCACTCACAACAAATTTAGGGAGTAATTATTATTATCATCCTTACTTTACAAACTAAAAAACAGCCTTGGAACATAGTAAATAAGTGGCATACTTGGCTTTCAAATCACATGAATTGGTTTCTCCAAAATTCATTCTTCCCCTGTACTGCAGGAAGGACATAAAAATTAGAGAACACTTAATCTATTGTCAGCAGTTTTCAAAAATATAATACATTGTTAACAACTATAGTCACCGTCTTACAAAGTAAATCACCTGGAAGTCTTTCTTCTAACTAAAATTCATATCCATTGACCAGTATCTCCCCAACTGGATCAGGCCCTCAAGCCCCTGGTAATCACCATTCTATCTTTTAAGAAACATCTAGCTTCAGGGTTTCAGTGCTTTCACCCTGGCCTTTGGTAACCAAATAAAGCAAGTACCTATTCCCCTGTTTTTATATATGAAGGGTCATTGTGTTTGTTTTTCCTGTTTTCCCATAGGATATGCTTTTCTTTCTTAATCAAAAAGGCCCCCTCACAAGGGGCATCTTTAGACAGTCAGCCAATGTGAAATCCTGCAGAGAACTAAAAGAGAAACTGAATTCTGGAGTTGAAGTACACCTAGACTGTGAATCTGTTTTTGTGATAGCATCTGTCTTAAAGGTAGGAAAAGCTCACATTTTATCATCATGTAGTTCTGGAGCAGGATACATGGTTTGTTTCATTATGAACATTAATCCTGTGTGCAGAGTCATCATAGACTTCGAACCTAGAAAGTGTTAAAAATATTTCATGAAGTCATCATTGGACTTTAAAAGCTACCACTAACGATATGATATGTCAGGTAGGTAAAGGAAAAGAAATAAGGAAAAAAAGAACCTATTTCTTTATCTTAACTCCTGCCACCCCTTGCACAAAAGCAAAATTTAATGTTTAAAATACGGTACTTGTAGCATGTTTACCAAAACAAACACCCTGCTTATGGTGATTTCACTATCTTCCTAATGAAGGCAAAGTTTTAAAAAATAAACTTTTATTACGTTTATTAACTGAAAATAGTTATAGAAGTTTATCATAGTAACCATTTATTGGCTTTACAACCTAAAGAAAAAAATTGCTGAGACTATTAAAACTTCCTTTCATTTCTGGAATCATCATGCCCATAAATATTCCTTCCCCTCAATTTCTAGTGCTTTCTGTTTTAAAAGTGGAATAGGAACTACTCCAACTTCTGGGCCTTCTTTTTTACCTTTCCTCCGTTTGGCATTCTTTGATTTTTACGCTTCACCCATGTTTACATAAGTCACATCTTCTAAAATAATTTCTTCCCCACATTCTTGGAAATGGCCTACATTTTTTGTAAATGTCAAGTCAAAACCTGTTTTAAGCAGAGATTTTAAACCAACAGTAATTTCTGAAGACCTACCTTAGGCTCCTATTTCCAAACGGTCAAAAGTACTCCAAAAGGCTAGAGGAGGCTTCAGCCTGGAGCATAAAAACTAAGTTAAGGGAGACATGATCAAGAGAGTTGCATACCCCTGTTCCTGCTGAGTGTTCAGCTTCTTGTACAATAAACTTTATGAAAAATCAGGTCTTTCTTGGTAATGGGCCATATCTGCTCTCAAACCATGCTGTAAACTCTTTGAATAAAATATCACTCAAAAGAAATGGAGCTAGGATATCTGTTTTCTACAGGGTTTTGATTATTCTTCAATCCTGGCATACAGTAAAAATATGACAAGTATATTTTTTCTCACATAATTGTGTCTCTTGTTTCTTAATTTAGGAAAGTAAAGCTTATTTTAGAAAAATTTTCCTATTCTATTCTTCACAGCACCACACTTAAAAATTCATGTTAAATTGCTGAGAGTGTTACAAGGAAGTCTGGTTCTAGAAGAGCTAAGTTGTTTCAGATAATTTTGTGTACCCAAAGACAAGACCAAAAAAACACAAATGACTGAGTAAACTACTTAAATGGGTTTTAGATAACTGAAGTTTTATCATTGTGTAAAGTGATTTCAGGAGATAATTTGTGCCAAAAGTTTGGATTTGTTTTTTTTAGCTGACTATTTTGTTTTGTTTTTAATACTGTTTTTGAAGCAGTACTTATGTTCTGCTTTAATTATTCTTATGCTAGTTTTACTTAAATACAAGTTTAACTCTTCATTTTATTATTGGACCAAAATTGCCTGAGATGCCAAAACTTTGGGGAAATTTTTACTTTAATCCACAGCATCTTAGATGAATTAGAGATTCCTGGTGGACCAAGGTTCTGGTATAGAAGGTAAGGAGAATTTCAATTTAGTAAAAACCAGTGTTTGTAATTCAGAACCTGCTCTCACATATTTCTCAGCTGTGATGGTGGTTGTATTTCATAACTTGTTATTCCAGCTGTGGAAGAGTTCATTGAGATGTTACAAGTTATTATCTTTCAAGTGTAAGTTTGAGATTTAATGATGTTTTTCTTCAAGACAGATCATAGTGTGTTTTCCACTGAGATTTTTGTAAAAGAGCTAGTGTCACTATCACAATTTTAAATAACAGATTTTGCCTCTTAAATCTAACTTGTAAATTATGTACACTATCTAAAATTAGTTTGGAATTAGAACTCAGTAGCTTTCCCAAAAAGAGGTGATTTTTGTGTTGATGTATCTGAACCACAATTAACTAGGTACATCTCTACTGGAATATATAAGAGACTTTGAATAAGTCCATCTCATACTTATTAACTGCTCTTAAAAAGTACAGTACTAGAATGTCATGAGTACAGAGTTCTGAAACTTATTTTAGCATCTCAGTTGTACTGTATTTGATTAGCCTTTCCTTATACCCTTTAATATTTGCCCCTATGAGAGATTATAATAGTTCACTAATGGCCTGTGGTATCGCTGAGGCTATGCTTGACATCTGTATTTATAAAGAAGGTGAGGGTCTGTCCCTGCCCTGAAAGAGCTTGTATATAGTGAAAAGAGATGCCTGAATAACTAACTATACAGTGCATTATTCCAGCTTCCATGTTAGCAATAAACATGCTATACACATAACAAGCTTCCATAGACAAATAGATAAATCATTGATTTTCTAGAAAGAGACTTTCACCTCTACACAGGAATTTGCAAGAGGATAGCCAACCCTGGTTACAATGCTTAGACATTAATTTGAGTTCTCACTGCCTCAAATTTCCTGAAGTGGACATCGGACTACATGCTTGGTTTTCTAGGTGCTATTCCAAAAGCAACAGAGATTTGGCCTCAAACCAAGCCTCTAAGCCCAAATTTAGTTTACATTTAAGCTTTCTATCAACAAAGGCCAAACAACAGACACCCCTGGTTATATTCTGTTTATGTCATTGTGTGGATTTATCACACCAAGTCCCACTCACTGTTCTCAGAGAATGGATCTCCAGAAAGGACAGTGGACTTAGATATGTACATCATGAGTAGTGATGCTGCTGTAAATTCCCAGATCCTAGCCATCACTTATAAATGTTTTCTCCCCCAAAATACACATGAGCCCTTCTATGGCGAACACGGGGAAGAATCCTTAAGTACCTTGATGCAGTCATATAGCAATGCCACTGGAATAGGATATTCTGAGATAACCTAGACTTTGCATTTTTTTTTACATGTGCCAGGCACTGTTTGAGATAAAAAAGTGAACAAAATTTGGAGTGGTTTCTACAGTGTGAACCTCACAGGCATCTTGATTCATTTCCTTGAACTTGCTATCTAAGTAAAGAGGGAAAAATATTTAGGATGGTACTGCCAGATCCTATTATGCTATTCTAGTATAAAATGTGTATCAACAGGATTTTTTAGCCCAGAAAGATGTCCTTTATTTTTCTCACCATAATGTAGACTTAAATTATCCCAATGGTTTTTTTGCTAGGGGAAAAAAAAAAAATTGAAGCATGTGATTCTATGTGGAACAAGTCAGTGGAGAGTTGGCACAGCCTGTGTACTTTAAAGAAGCAAGACTTTTCAACAGAATACTTACACATTTCTCTGATACATATTTTATATGAGAATAATCATTTTAAATATTTGTGTTTTTTATCTGTGTAAGGACTTTCTTCGAAATATTCCAGGAAGTATTTTTTTATCAGATATCTATGATCAGTGGGTCTGTGTAATGGATCAAGGAAATGATGAAGAGAAAATAAACACAGTTCAAAGGTAATTATTCTAATTTGGTCATGTCTCAGAAATGCTTAATGCTTTATAAGCTTGTTTTATGAGCTTGCCTATTAAAATACTGCAAAGTGGTACTTTAAGATACATTTTTGCTGCTGTTTTTCTCTAATCTTATTAATATGTAAGACCTGAATATTGAAAACCTTTTATTTATATGTTTGAATCTGAGGAAATAAAATCCATTAGTCCATTAGATAATACTGTGAACCCAATCTACAGCTTATGAACTTAATCTAGGGAAATTTTTAACCACACAAGCCCTTATATATTTAATTCAAATAGGTCAGAAAATGACCTAATCCCTCCTCTAAGCACTCGTAGTCCAGTTATCTGAGATTGACAACTACAACACAATATAGCACTTTAAAAGTTATTTGGAGGGTGCTGTGGAAGTATAGCAGAGAAGCAGTTAACTCTTGGAGAGATGTCATAAAGGGAATTGCACAGTCTTAATCTGCTTACAAAGAACCCAGTGTCTAAACTTACACAGGCAAATTGCTCATAGAGCTTACTACCCCCACATTCCTAAATATTTTCTACAGTATGAGAATAAGAAAGAAGGCAAAGGGCAATACTCCAGTTCTCTGAAAACCCAAAAATCCCATTTGTTTATTTGAATATATTTTTTTAGTTTTTTTCTCAGGCAGTATTTAAATATCTACACACTGCTACTGTTAGATATTTAATCAATATAACATTATATAGCTATTGAAGACACCAGAATACAAAGCCATGTAACAAAATACTACACCTGCCTCCATTGTATAGCTTAGTGTAGATCATTCAGATAGTAGCATTAAATTCTGTACTCTGTTGCTCATTGGCCAAAACATTTCATTAGTAAACAGGAAAGATTTAAATCATTAATGAAAGAACCAGTAAGATGTTACATTCAGTTCAGTGGAGATTTCAGAATATCGTAGCTTATAACAGATAAATCAGAAATGCTGAAATGAATTTATAAGTAGAAACAAAACTGGCCTTTTTTTTTAAACCAGGAGAAGGGTGCATATCAATTATCTCTCTGCCAGATAGAATTTAATTCTATAGAGAAGTATTAGATACAATACTCTCAGTTATCTACAACTTATAGAGTTGTAAACTAGGCCATAGGTTTAGGGATCTTATAAAATTAGCTAGCCCAAAAGCTTATTCATTCAAAAGCATATACATTCAATCTTTTGGTCCTTTTCAGAGTCTTTCGCAATTCAGCCCTATCAACTATACTCACTGTCAGTCCATTTTACTGGAAAAAAAAAAAAAAAAAAAAAAGCCTCTGATATTTACGCACCAGGAGTTAGAATATCTTATTTCCTAGGATTGCAAATTCTCACACAAAAAAGGCAAGTCATGAATATCAGAATTTATATTTCATATATGTTTTCTGAACAATAGTAAAAATTACTTTCAATGAATGATCATTTGAAAAACTCTTTATCATTATACAATAGTAGCAGTAGAAAATAGACTACTGTAAACTTAACTTCTTTGTGAAAGTGATACCAGTGAATGGAGATTTGGAATTGGTATTACAAGGTGCTACAGCAGAGCACAAGCTCTCAGAATGACCTGGAAGTCTTAATGACTGAAGTTTGGGTTCTCATCAAGAGACAGCATTCTTGTGTTGCTACCGAGAAATAAAACGAGCATTTTAATCTTACTAGAAAAAATGGGTGGGGGGTGATTGAATATTACAGAATTTGCCTAAATTAAAGCATATGGTACTAGTTTCAGGGAATATTTCAGGCAGCATTTTTATGAGACTCTTTCTGCATTCTTTTACATTAAGTTTTAAAAACAATATTCCAAAAATAATGGCTAATGCTTTTTTTCTTTCTGTATAAGCACTGTCATTTTACATGGAACCATATTAACTGAAACTCTTGTATATCTGAACTCTGTTCTTGATTTGCCCTTTTGATTTGCATGGTTCTCTGTGCAAAGTTAAGGGTATCTAATTTTTAGTGAAATGCCTTGCTTAAAGAGCACGTTTTTCTTTCTTTAGACTATTGGACCAGCTTCCGAGAGCCAATATCATTCTCCTGAGATATCTGTTTGGGATATTATACAACATTGAGAAAAATTCCTCTACCAATCAGATGAATGCATTTAATTTGGCAGTATGTGTCACTCCAAGCCTTATTTGGCCTCCTACTTCCTCCAGCCCAGAGCTAGAACATGAATTTACAAAGAAGGTAATGACTTTTTTCATTTTTATGCCCTTGGTAACTAAGAACTCATTTTGAAACTGAGAGAAATAATATTCTGAAAAACAATTTCATAGATAATTTTATAGGGAGGAATAGTTGAGTTTAATGACTATGGAATATTCTTCCTTATCCTGTAGACTATAGGAAGGTAATAGAATATAAGCAGAAAAGTAACAGTCATTTTTCTTTTCCCTGTAAGGAATCTAAACAGTAGGACTGACTCAAACCATAGAATAATAAGAAAGCAGTTGTTTTTACAAAAAAGTAAACTTTGGAGTCAAACAAGTCAAAGTTCAGTTCTCAATTCTTTCAATTCAACCCCCCATTTGTCAGATGTACCATCCCGGGTAAAATTAGTTACACTGACTTACAGAGTTCTTGTCTTTAAAAATGGAAGTGGAGGGCTAGAGCTTTAGCTCAGTGGTAGTGGCATCTACCTAGCAAGTGCAAGGTCCTGAGTTTGATCCCCAGTACCAAAAAAAAGAAAAAAAAATGGAAGTAGTAAAAAAGCAGTAGTTACTTGAAATAACACTCCTGCAGTGCCCATCTGTTAAGGCATTTGGAGATACACTTTCCTTTGCTTCCCACATTTCTTCTGCCCCTTAGCTTCAACTACTGAAGCAAGGAAACTACAGAGAGGTTCTAGTACATCTCCTTAGAGGCACAAAGCCTCCTAGTTAAATGCTGTCCTCTTTCTCAAGCACATCCAGTTAGGGAATGTAACCTTAGGCAACACGTGAGTTAAAAACTAGTCAGGAAAACACATTTGCTTTCTAGTTCTCTCTCTCCTTCATAGTGCACCCATGGAGAGCCCTCTTACTGAACTTATAGCAACCTGCCCTTTGCATAGAGATATTTTCATAAGCATTACCTGTTGATACTTTAATAAATTTTAATAACAAAATATATTTCTTCACTGCAAAAATGTGGAGAAATTACTTTGAAATTACCCTAACTTTAAAGACAGAGACAATGATATAAGGTATTAGCATTAAGCCAAGGCTCCAAATAACTTGAGTCCAATGATTCAAGAGTATATTCAAGTCAGGAATGGTGGTGCATGCCTGTAATCCCAACACTTGGGGGCTGAGGTGGTAGGAATGCAAGCTGCAGATCAGCGTAAACTACACAAACTACAGCCAAAACAAAAGTAAGAGTAATTTGGGCATAGAAAGTAAAGCATCACAGTGTTTTAGGGGAACCTTTTGTATACTTTTGTATATTTTTATGTACTTTAAAGATACTCTTCCTGAGGATTTTTTTGTTAAAAAATCAGTGTTCCTATATGAAATGTAATGTGAACCAGGAAGAAAAGGTCCAAAGGGAAAATGAAATGGAGGGAAAGGGAAGAGGAAAGGAAAGAAGGGAAAGAAAAAATATCAGAAAAGAAGGAAAATATGGAAACAAAGTTTTTGTAAATAGGATTGGAGGGGTAGAAGGGACAGAAGGGGAAAAAACAAGAACCAAGATATATCTGTAAAGGTACAAATTCCTATTGATGAGTGTGATTGTAATGTACAACTAAAATGTACTAATAAACTTAATGAATAAAAAATATCTTATACGAAAAGTAGCACTTTAATTTTGTCTTTGTATAGGTTTCCCTGCTTATACAATTTCTGATTGAAAATTGCTGTAGGATATTTGGACATGAAATCACATCTCTCTTTGGAGAGGTTTCATTGAGAATTGACACTAAAGAGAATTCCTCAGGTACTGTAAAGAAGTTGATTGACTATTTATTGATATGTGTTTGCAGTAAAGTTTACATTTCATTTTTAAGGAGTTAGGTGCATATACGTAGCACAGCTTGATTCTTTTTTATCTCCTTCCCCTTCCCTCCCATCTCCTTCCATCTGTAAATCCTCTTTCCCCATCATTCTTAGTATTTTTAGTCCATGTTTATGACATAGTATTCATTGTGGGTATTTGATACATGTATATAACACATCTTAAATCTTTTTACTCCCTTTCTCCCTCAGTCTTCCCCCTTGGTCTTCATCCCTTCCCATTTGCTGCAGATCTCCTTGTTTCCTTCTCTCAGTACCTTATTTTGCTCCTCATTGGTACTTTTGCCTTACTCAAATGAGAGCTATTAAGCTGTATGTCTGAATTATTTCACCTAACACTGTATTTTCAAAGTGCATCGATTTTCCTATAAATGTGTGATTTATCCTTTATGGCCAAGTAGTATTGCATTATGTCTAGATACATTTTCTTTATCCTTTTGTCTATTGATGGGCACACAAGCTGCTACCAAGATTTAGTTTTTATGAATTGTGCTACTACAAACATTGGTATAAATGTATCGCAGTAATATTATGTCTTTAGCTTTTGGGGGAAGATACCTAGAAGAGAAATAGCTGAGTCAAATGAAATTGCTAATTTTAGTTGAGAAATTTTTTGTAATAAATAGAAGCACGTCTGTGACTATGCCAGGACAGTTGTCAGAGAGCCCATAGCTGCTGAAGTGAAGGGAGCCTCCGACGTGTCAGTACGGCAAAGACATTTAATTTCTTCCTTAGAAAACTTGCTAATAGCTCAGGGTATATTCATAGTGTGGTGTGAGGCTAACAAATGTGTAAGGTGAGGTTTCAACCTTCAAGAAGTTGTTAGTGTACTATACTATGATATGATGATGTTTAAACTTTCTTTTAAATAAAACTTGATGAGAAATGCTAATATATATGAGAACTACCGTCATTGTAAATGGAGTAGAGAGCCAGAGAAAAAGCAGCAGACCTGTTTTCTTGCTCCCTATAGACACTAAGACATCTCAGAAGTGTAGTGTACTATGAAACAGTTTGAAAACAACTAGCACTTTATGTGTGGGGTATAGATTCTGAATTCAAAGACATCGCTTCACATTCTAAATTTTTGTACTGTCAATTACCAGTTATATTATCTTTGGCAAATTACTCTATAGTCCTGAACATCTTTTAAGCATGGATAATAATTTTAATGGTTATTGTAGGCTAAATAAGGAAATAAACAATGCTAAAGTACTTTGTTAAAAAGAAATTGATAGGAAGTTTCCCCGAGATGCAAGTTGATTACGTACTCAACGAGTAATCCGTGTTAGAAGGCAGAGTCTTATTCAAAGCTATACCTGACATTAATTTCTTCATATTTCACACCATTTCTTGATCTTATGGTATGTTTGTTGCTTTGAGAAAATCTTACCTAGGAAAAGCCCACTTCATTAGGATTTAAGATAAATCCAATATACTCCAACAGATTTCTTTTTTTATGTACTAACACTTGGAAAGACTGCAAAAGATTCCTTCCTTCTGGAGAGTAGATATTCACTCTACATGAAAGGACCATTAAACTAAACATACTTTGTTTGCAGGCAGCATTTGCTATATTTGTAGTAAGTAAAGGTGTTAATCATGGTTTAATGTTTCTTGACAGACACCTCTTGTGTCCAACTGAATGACTCCTCCTATGACAGCTTGGAAAATGAGCTAAATGAGGATATTGATGCTCCATGTAGTGACTTGGTAAAGAAACTTGGCCAGGGTAGCAGAAGCATGGACTCTGTCTTAACTCTCAGTGACTATGACATTGACCATCCTGAGGTGGAAGGTCTTCTAACCCTGAGTGATTTTGACTTAGACCACTCTACAGATCAAGACATTCAAATGAAACGGCCTCCTGGGTGCAAGCCGGTGAATGTTTCAGTAAGGAACAGAAAGGCCTCACTGGGGGAGCAGGCTGGGGCCTCGTCCAATACATGTACACCAATCTACCTGTCCACAGCTGCAGCAGATGCTCCAAAAAGCTTGCGGCGACTCAGGCGCTGTTCAGAGCCCAGCATCGACTATCGGGATTCTAAGGTTTCCTATCTCAGGGAGTTTCACCAGAAAAAGTTACGCAAGTCCAGCTGTGATGCAATACTCTCTCAAAAAGATGAAGACGATCTGAAGCAAAAAACTGCCCTCCCAGAAGAGGGTACGATATGCTTAGAACAGAGTCTGGTCACAGGTACTGACATAAGCAGAAAAAACACCACTAGTAAAAATATTAAGAAGAAAAGCTCATCAGGTAATGAAGGAAATTATGTGAAAGTTTTCACTAATTCCAAGCCAGTGGCCATTTCTGTGGCATCTTCTAGTCATATGTCCCCCCAAGATCATTCTGGGAACCAACATTCTGATGCAAATACATCTGGATACTCCCCACCACACATAGCAGATACATTCAAGAGTTCAAGGACACATCGACGCTGCTCAGAGCCCAACATAGATGTCCAGAACTGCAAACTGACCTATCTCAGGGGGATTTATTCAAAGAAACAACATAAAATCAGCTGTGAAGCTAGTCTCTTGCAGGGAGAGGAGGATTATCTCATACGGCATAAGTCTTTGCAAATGGAGGGGCAAAAACTTATTAATCAGAGTTTGGTCATGGGAATTGAGGTGGGCAAAAGCAGTGCCACCAACCAAAGCACTGAAAAAGTTTTGCCGCCAAGGCTAAACCTGTGTCCAAGTACCAGCTCTTCCAGCTTATCTTCCCCAGGAACTTCCCCATCTGGCTCATCTGTGAGCTCTCAGGACAGTGCGTTTTCTCAGATTTCTGAACACTCTGTGTTTACACCCACAGAAACTTCTTCTCCAATAGATTGCACTTTCCAGGCTCAGAAAAAACAAGAAAACCTTTCTTCTGATATTAGCGCTTCCAGCCTCTATTCTAAAATGCCCGGTTCCTCGGAAGGGCAGGCCAGTAGCCACCTGGCCTACACAAAAAAGGACACCATGGAGTGGCATTTACAAATGCATTCTGGAACTCTTCACCCCAGCACATGGTTGAAAAATAGTGTGGCCAGCTTGAAAAACTGGTCTCTCAAAAAGAAAGCAAAAGTAGCCAGACCAGAGGAAAAGAAAAATTCCCTAAAAGGACATGTGGAGTCAGTTCCATATGCTTCTGATGTTCCAGAAGCCAATTCACTGCAAGAGATTCAGAAAGACCTACCCCTAAGGGCAGCTGAAGGACTTGGAGCCATGCAGACAGTCCAGCTATGCAGCTCTGCTTCCTGTCTGGACTCAGAGAAACATTATAGTTCTCCATTCAGCCTAGTGGAGAGCAGATTCAAGCTTTCTGTGAAGTCCTACAAGGGAGGAGAGACTGAAGGGCAGTGCTGTTCTGGTCCTCTGCCTTGGGAAAAAGCCTCATCTAGCTCTGGGACTATAAATAATGTGGCCATCCCAGATGTGGGGCCTACTGTGGTTTCTGATGGTGAGGATAAACCTTTAACCAAAGACATTTAATCACAGTAAGAATCTACAATCTGCAACAGTGGGAACTGGGCTGATAACACAAACAGCAATTATGTCCCCTTTTTAAAATAAAGATACTTGGGAGATGTAGCCTAAGAATAATCTTGCTCATACTTAGGACAAAAACATTCTCTCTACTGAGACTACTTGATAAAGACTTTATGTGAAAAAAAAAATTATCACCTAAGTTTAGACAGTTTTTGCTTACTAAGAGATTTTAGAGATAATAGTAGAGGACTAGAGAAACCATCTTCCATTGAAGAGGCCTGCCTGTGTCAACTGTCAGTGATATCAGGATCCTGAGGAGGCCACACTTTCATGAATGAAGAATCAGGAACAGAAAGGGGGGCACTACAGAGAAATCACCCACATTTATTTCACAGAATGCTTTTAGTAATCAAGTGAGGAAAATACCACTAATCAAAATATTTAAAATGTGTATATTTATGACAGAAATCATGTAAATCTTTTTCCTTAATCGAAGCCAATAGCCATATCTGTGGAATCTTCTAGTCACATATCCTCGTAGGATCATTCTAAGAACCAGCACATCTATGTAGCCAATGTACAGAAAATGAGAATGATTCAAGAGTACCACAGTATACTGGTGTACCTTTAAGATGAGAGAGGAGACAAGTCCACAGATACAAAATAAATTAATACAGTCTAAACCATTTATCAGTTATGAGTCATTTTGGGACAAAACCATGGAAATTTTTCTGGAAGAAAACCCAAAGCCAGTGACCAGTAATGTCATGTCAGAGGTACCACGACAATAGTTCTTTGTTAGTTGTGTTGCTTGGTTTGTTTTTTGTTTAGTGTTACTGTGCAAATGCTCCAAGATATAGCTGTGATAAAGAAAGCAATGTTCACTCATTTTAGTTCCCTTTTCAAAGGTTCCTATGCTAGGAACATGCTTTTTCCTAGAGAGCCACAAAAAAATTAATATACCACCCTTTTTCTAATTTTATAAACTGACAATTGAGAGAGCAGATTAGAGGTTGGTGGGATACAAGGAGTCAAGAGTGCTCAACAAAGTGGTTGCCAGACCTCAGATGGGTCATTAACTTTGGATTTTCTTCCATAAATGTTTCCCAAATGACTCATACTTGACAGATTATTCAGACCCTATTAGTTTATTTTATATACATGAATCTTTCTCCTCTCTTTCTCCTCTCTCCTGCCTTAAAGGTTACAATATATCTCCTCACCTAGGAATAAATTCTCAGGCCTTGCCAACCAGTACGGAGGGATAGCACTAAAAACAGGTGCTTATCTTCCTTCATTTAACTACTCACTGGAAAGAAGTTGTTTAGAGCCATGTGATCTCTATAGTCTACCATCAAATTGATCTTTCTCTCACAAACTAGCCTATTTCAGATTACTTTTATCCATCATCAAGAAGCTTATAGCAGATAGTCTTCCCTTGTCCTAAAGGTTACATTTTTGGTTTGGAAATTAAAATTAATGTTTGTGTAACAAGTCATTTCACTATTAGCTGTAGGTGCTACCTACCTCCTAGAGACATGGCCCTGTTTGCCCTAATCATTATATTAACTTTTAGAATTCCATGTCCAAAGAACTCCATGACACTGGCCATCTCAGGCACAGATGTGTAATAAAAAGTTTTCAGCTCCTAACTACCCCTATATTCAGGCTTCTAAGTGTCCATACACATCTTTTGTGGTATAATACATGAAGTCAGCAGGGACTCCCCTTACCCTTAGGGCATACTACTGTCAGAACTGAAGATGTGAATGAAGCTCTTATGGCCTGGAGTGTATTTCTGGAAAAAATTACTCAACTACTTGCAAAAATAATAGTTTAGCCTCTTTTTTTTTTCCTTGCATAATAGCTGGTAGAAAGTCACCCAACCCAATTTGAAGCATAAAAGAAAATAGTTACTGTACTAAGGTTCTTTAATAACCATTCTCACTCCCTCTACTCCCTTAGATACTTCTGTAATACTTAATGTGAATAGTTTAATATTGCTGTAAAATATTGTATTGTATTATTTGAAGACAGACTACATGTCATTTTATTATACTCCATCAATCTATAATATATTAGACCAATGCTTTATCTAAAATGCTTTGAGTTTGTATAATATATCGGGACAAATTTTATTACCATATGTTATGTAATAAATGTGTATTTTTGTACTTGCAGAAACTGCTGCTAACTTTTAAAGTTGTTTCATTTTCAAGGCACTGATAATGGATATGCATGAAGTCCATGCTGTCAAATAAAATACCATTCTGCAGAGTTAAGTCACCCCAGAGCATTGTTGACTTTGAAGAGTTTTTTCACAGAGCCCAATCTGTGCTTCACATTGAAAATTTCATAGAGTATAATTAATGCTGAGTTGAAGCTTTGCGATTTTAGTCATAGTCCTTCTAGAAAAAAATGGGTGTCCTCTTTTAAAATCTTACTACCAAAAAAGCATGTGTTAGATAACACAATCTTCATTTACCTCCAGGACTATGTTTTCATTGTGCTCCCAGAATGACATACAGTCTTATGTTCTTGTATCAAAAGCTCCATTAGCTAAGTTTAATTGATTATGGAATTTTCTTAATAAAGTTTGGACAATTCTGAATAGAGCACCCAGTTGGCCTTAGATATACACCAAAGTATCAGTGCAAATGTTCAGATAAATTTCTCAGAACTTTTGCATCTTTGCCTCTCAAAGTTCACGTGGGTCTGCTTTATAAATTTAACCACCATTTCAAAAGGATTCAAAAAAGTATACTGCCTTATCCTAGAAAAAAATTTGCTCAGGCTGGGTATAAGAACCACAAGTCTACTTTCAGAAATGTTACACTGATATTAATTTCTATCTAAACTTCAGAAAGTCTAGTTTGCTTTTATAGAAAGAATCTGATGTTAGTAGATTAAGAAATTATATAATTATGTTTTTCCACTTTTCAAGGCAAAATAGGTACTCGGTACCTACCGTATCCTTGACCCAAAGGCATATTTTTTCTGTTGAAAAAATGCAAAAAATGTCATGTATCTTCAATCTAACTTCTGTTGATAAGCATTTAGCTCCTGTGTTCCTACCAAGTTTTAATGATTTAGGAAGTTATTTTGCAAACTGCCTATTTGAATGCAAAGAAAAATTCATTAGCAAGATACTCTTAGAAAAAGTTCTAAAAAAGAAAAGGAAAGTTCTATTCCTGAAATATCTTTAGGTAAAATGTTTACTTTCTTTAATATCTATTCTGGCTATGACAATTTTTCATAATCAGGAAACTGAAAGGAAAGGAACTCGAATTCTGTGCTGCCTGCCCTGAGTGAATACTTTTTGTGAACCACCTTCATGTTTCATTCGGGTTGTTTTGTTATGTTTTGTTTTAAACACAGTGAACTCCTTTGCATAACATCACATGTTTTGGTAAAACTGGCAGAAGGCTTTAGAGTGTAATTTAGAAAATTGTATTTTGATTTCCCAAAGAAATATAGTTGGTGGAGTTGGATGAATATTTTTCTTTAGTTTGTGTCCACATTGGGCAGCAACAGAACCCATGACATTTTTAGGTAGCTCATAGTATTTACCTGTTTTTGCTTGTCTGGCAAAATAATTAGGTTTTCTAGAGTTAATCTTTCATGGTGCAGTAAGGTGCACCTTTGTAGATATTAAGGTTTAAATGCTAATTGTTTTATCTAGCTTTGATTTTAGAATACAGTAACTTGGAATTAAATTTAGAATTCTATTTTCATGATTTGCTTTGAGAAGTGAATAAATTGGCTAAAAACTTGTGAAGCCATCCCACTACTCTGAGCAAATAAAATGGGTGCTATAAAGAAAGATCTTTTCTGCCAGATACAGGAGCTATGACTGCCACTGCCTAAAATTTTCAGGAATAAAATAAATACATCTTTGCCCAAGAGTAGCAGAGAATCACTGAAATTCATGAACACAGAGGAGGTTATTGCTGGCACAGCAAATAAGTAGGAAGGGAGGAGAGTCTTAGATGAACTAACTCAAGCAAGAAACTGAAACAAAAGGCTCAACAACAAAAAAATGAAAGTAAAGGAACATGGGTGGAGAAAATGGAAGTGTCAAAATGTTTTTGAGGTAATTAATTTTTTATTGCTAGATATTCTTGCCCCTGACACATACATGTCAAACTTCTGGGCCACACTGAGCAAAGAGGAATTGTCTATTCAATAGTAAACACCCACCTTTACAGGGATATGCATGTGTAAGTAGGTTGAAATACTGTTTTATGCAATCAGTGCATTTTACTCAGCAAGTTGCACAAGCATATGTAACATCTGATATGCACAAGTTTCAACTGGACTGTGAGTTACAGGAGGCAGAGTTAGGACCACACTCACAACACTGTGCTTGTTACCACCTACACAGTCCATGTTGGAATGCTACATAATTGGAGTCATGAATAATACTGTCAGAAATCACGTCATGATCTTAAAAGTGGAGACATGTTACTAGCTGTCCAGGGCTATGTGAAGCCCACCAGCTGCAATAGTACAGGTGAAAAATTATATTTGTTAGGTCTTGAACCAACTTGGGGGAACATGGAGCTGAGTAAAAAGTGAATATTAACATTTATTGAGAGCCGGGCCTGGTGGTGCATGCCTGTAATCCCCAGCACTTGGGAGGCTGAGGCAGGAGGATCGCTGTGAGTTTGAGACCAGCCTGGGCTACATAGTGAGTTCCAGGTCAGTCTGAACTACATGGTGAGACCCTGTCTCAAAAAACAAAAATTATTGAGCACTTACTGTTGCCTGAATGTATTAGTGATAAGTGCATTTTACATATTTTATGTAATGCTAATAACTGTTGTGTACCTTCAGCTAGAACCTCACTTGGACCCCATGCTTTTCCCTCCCAGAACACTGACTTTAAAAGAGAGATCATAGTTCTTTAGTAATAAAGCAAACACAATTATACATGTAAGAACTACTCCAAGCTTTACTAAATGATTTTATCTAAACTGGAAGTCTCTAAAAAAATCAGTATCAGAAAAAAAAAATTCAGTCAATGATGAATGTAAACATGACTGATAATTTTATCCAGATAAAATGGTGTAGACATATCTCCCTTCTCTCCACTAAGTCAAAGTCTAAATGCTGGAAATAATGGAAGAGACAGCAAAAGGGAATGCTAAAAGTGCAAATACAACTTGGTGAATATCCCTCAGACTTGAATAGCACAGTTTCAGAGCACCTTGTATCTGCTCACCCAGACCAAGATGGCGATCTAGGCCTGATCTTTCCTAACCTAGCAACAAAAAAAGCAGCTCAGGCAAGTTCATTCTTCTCTGTGATAAAACCAGAGACTCTCTGACACCACTGGATGATGCAGACATAGGTAGCAAGAGGGACTGACAGGAGCCCCTCTAATACTGGCCACAGGCAGTATTTTCCTGATAGACCTAAGGTTCTCTTTAGTGTGTCCAGATAACAATAGCAAAATGAATTTAGCCACAACAAGCAGCTCAGTCAGAAACTACTTGGCCCCAGCACACCTAAAACTCCCCTCCCCTGTCAAGGACATGAGAGCCGCTAAATGGCCTACAAAGGA